TGGTGGTGATGGTGGTGGTGAATCTAGACTGTCCAACTCAGAGGAACTCACCGGTGCTTCTATGTTCAAACCCCACTTTTTTGCTTCCTGTTTACGATTTTTCACAAACAAGAAGGGCACAACACTCCGTTACGAGTAAAATTTATTCACGAAACGTATACTAGAATCTCACTGCTTCCTGTTTGATGATCAAGCGATTTTCATAACAGCTGCATTTTTTATTTATACATCCAAGATATTAGAGTGTTGGATTCTTAAAGAGAAAACGAAAATTTTCCAATCACATTAAGCAAAAGTCTTGTCCTTTACCTGAACATTTATCATGTGGTGAAGAAATACAAAAAAGTATTTGATGTTTGATCTTCTGGGTTTTCTGTTATGCGACTGCGGCCGAAATGTGTAGTATATGTTCTTTGTCGCTCTGGGGCAGAAAATGTTGATGTAAGTTATCCGGGTTTAAACTTATTTCCTCGAAGAATCCGATCAATTACATTCGAGTCCCTACGACGTGGCTGTGTTTTCTGCTCCTTTACCGAAGCCATGTATGTTCTATCGGAATAGGAATTGCCTCCCGGTATTGATCAATACCATTGAGGGCGAATCAGTTGCAAACAGCTCAGTGAATCAGATTGTCTCATGAAGACTTCAGGAGACACGCCGTATGCCAAATAAACGAGTTTCCGAACGGTCCCCCGTATCGAATTCCTTTACCACTTTATTTCTAATCGGTCCGAGTCGTTTGCAACAAATTGCCTGTTTTCGGACATCCAGTGTCAGTCCAAACTAATTGGTCCTCCAATTTCAGTAAACGACTCTGCCGCGACTAGGCTACCGCTCAAAGACCGCCGAATCTCAACTGTCAATACGATGGGATCAGTAGGTCTTGGGAATAAAAGTTATTGATAGGATTCTTGCTTGGACCTAATCGGATATGTGTCAATCTTTGAATATTCCATATTGGGTCCAAGGTCAGATAACGTAATCTGCGTCAAGTCCACAGCATAGAAACAACGGTCAAAACTGCAAAACTCCGTCATCAGCCCTAGCTCGACGCAACAGCAGATCGACCAAAGCACGACGTTTCGGATCACCTACAAGTCACGAATCGCAAGATTGCTAAGGTTTTCAGAAGCAATTGCTATCAGTCGACGGAAGCCCTCTTTGTGTCAACAAAAAGAACTTAATGTTAGTTTATCCTTACCCTGGTGACATAATCTTTTTACCCTCTTTTATGTTTGTCTGTTTTAATGTATTTTACTATTTTTCGTTGCCATGCTAAATCCTTATATAAATAGTGTGTTTTCTGCCGTATGCACCATGTTCAGATGCAGCGAAATCTTCCTGGACATCAATCGTGTTGTTTTGCAATATGGCCTTTTCTTTCGAAACCATTGAATAGTGTGCATCTAGTAGTTTATTGCCACGATCTGCGGATCGTGGCACTTGACCATATGTTATTTTACTCCATCTATTTAAACTTGTCGCGTTTGTTACCCGCATCGAAATGGCATATTCCTTTCTTTCCTTTCCGATCCCTTCCCTCATCGCACTGGGTCGTACTTCTGCACGCTTTTGGGGAAAATACGAAACGGATACAGATCAAACTGAGTGAGGATGTATGCATTTCGGTGGATTCTGAACCAGTGCAAACTGGTGAACGTTCACTGACTGCTCTGCATACCGTCCAGTGTGTGGTTTGATCCTGACTGCAAGTGAATATATTCTACATTGGTTTTACTGAAATGCATAAATAAAATGATTTTCACATTGTGACCACGGCAATGTTTGGCTGGAGTTGATTTTGTGGTAAATGGTTATAGACATGTTTATGTGGTCCACAGGGGAACAGTTGCTGTAAATGACGAGTTTTCCCGCATCCACTTGCTAGTTAGAATAAACTCTTTTTCCTACAGTGTGAACACACCAGTTACGTTTGTTTAAACTAAATCGACTGGTTTGTAGACTTTCGGCCTTAAGAATTCCAACACAAAATCTCATCTTTTATCACAGTTCATTTGTTTTATTTTGCGGTAAAAGAAAAAAATCCGTGATCCTATCACGCAAGTCAAATCAAGAAACGCTTTATGTATCCGAAGGTGAATTTGTAGCTGTTTACGAACTTTTACCGTGGACAGATAAAACCAAGTGTGATCATCAAAAGAAAGACAATGTAACGAATTCTCTAATGCACTTAATGAGACGGAAAATAGTGCAAAAGGTTTTCCATGAGGTGGGTGAGAATCGTCATACGATTAACTAGTAACTAAGTCAGGTATGTTTTAAGACCGAATTCCAACCGCGACGCTATGCCCAGTATTTTTAGGGCCCGTAACGCAACACAAGAAATCAGAACACACGACAGCGTGCTGATCGGACTCGGGTTAATGATTTAATGAATGATCGTGAGAGTACATCAATCGGTTAAACGATGAAATAAAAAAACTAGATCAAGCTGGCGCACGGACAAATCGGACTGGAAGGGTATTACTCGGTGTCTGTCATGAACAGCTGTATCACGTGATTGGACGAGCAATGGGAACTGATAGACGAATGCGTACGTAGTATTGAATAGGAATGTTTCAATATGTGGTAGTACATGCAAGGAGTTGATGGTTAGAGCGAGTTCGGGGATTCAACAAGACTATCCCGATGCAGACAGACATCGATGCAGACACTTCCCAGTATCCCGTGTTATCCTGTCTACAAAGGTATCACAAGCGTCAAAAGGCTTGGAAGTAAAACAACTCAACCGAAACAACACCATCAACTCCACGGGACAAAAGTTTTAAGGGTCTAGAAAGTCCGTTGAAATCTTTTTCTTTCAGATCAGGGATTAATATTGGGGCTTAGTATAACCAGTGTGGGAGAATGCGGACAACCACGAATTTAAGAATAATATTATATAAGACAGCCAGTTTCCTGAGCCTGTGGGCATAAAAAGACAGTTTCCGACTCTTTTGTAAAAGCGCTGATGACATCAGCATACCAAGACAGGTTATGGGTGACAGTGACAACAAGGTATATAACAGAAACCAAGTTGGGGATGCTTTAATTATTAACTATAAGATCAAAGAGATTATTTACTAACGAATGATAACGTCGGCCGGCCGTCAGACTGCAGTGAAGTTTACTGATGTGAGCAGCAAGTCAGTGTTGTCTCGTAAGTAACTTGCGTTGGTCGCACCTCAATCCCAGTAAGGCTGACTAAATCGATTTACGGATTGCCCTCATCCATGGGAGTGCAGCCAAAACGTGGGACCTCCTGTCCGTGTGGGTTTGTTCAAATAAAGAGACCGGCTGGGGAATCTCTATCCAGTTGGTACATGAGGATAGAACTAGGAGTAATAAACGAACACAAATTACGAAACGGTAGGTAACAATTTATGCTGGATTGATCAACAAAAGAGGACATGTCTGAATCATACTACTTTCATACTTGCTTGATGTCAAATATGGAGCACAACTATGCGCTGTATCGTAATAACTTGCGGTTTGCATTATTATTGCTCGCTGACTAGGAGACGGATCATCATATATATCGAATGATGTACCAACGACCAGACAGAAAGTGTGAATAGATGATGAATTTTTCGTGTAAATGAGGCGTGAGCGAAAAAGCTGGAAAGCTGTTTCGAATTGGTTGGGTCTCATCAGCAGCAGTCCGAATCCATCGACCCAAATGGAAATCGAACCCGGGACCTCACCGGTAGAACACCAGAGAGCTGATCAAACCGTTTTTCATTTTCCATTTACGCGGTAAAGCATAATCAATTTTTTTCGAGCTAGTTGCGGGCAACAGACTTTGCTCATCTCAGCCCCCAGTGGGTTATGACTTGGATGAAACCTTTCTCAATCTAAGCATAATAAAAGAAACGAAATCAAAATTGCAGAAATTGTTGCCATTTGTATTGGTTCGCGAATTCTTTATTCGTTAGTTATCATTACTATACCATATTATGCAGAAAAAACTAGAAATCTGAGTACAAGGAATGTCTCTCAGGCGTAAAATGAAAAGGTGTAGTCAATAGAATTTACGGACTAATGCTGATGTATGCCAGTTCTTCATATCGGTATTTACAAAATGTTAATACTGAGTAGAATTTATATGCACACTGCAGTGCCTTACTATCGTATCGCCTCGGAGGTTATTTGTGTTCCACTCTGACT